ATAAAGGAATATAAATGTTCAAGGATTGAGATTCTTAATTTTTTTTCCAAAATTTAAAACCAAATTATATTATACGTATATTTTTAAATCAAGCTCACGTTGTATACTTATGTGCGATATTATTGTTGACAAATATGAACTTTTTAAAAAGAAAATTTCTCTTTAAAAAGTGGAAAATTGGCAACAGCGGAGTGCTCTAACTGATTGACGAGATTGTGTTTATCATGTGACTATGATGTCACATAAACTTATGAACTGATTGGCTGGAAACACGTGATTGAGTATCATGTGACTATGAACAATTCAGTCAATTGTTCTTATGTATCATTTGCTTTTTAACTCTCTAAATATGCATCTGTAGTTACTTTGAACTAGTAATTGGCTGTTGAAAGTTCACGCAATTGATATGCATGTTCCATCTCAGTGAATCAAAATTTATTCTTGAACTCTTCAGTAAATACATTACATTTATTTTTTACTATGAACAATTAACACACATGCGTAAATTTCCAATAACAAATATTTAAAGCCAGCACAACAATTCAAATTCCTAGCCCCAATACAGCATACGGCAAATGAAAGTCTCTAAAGCGTTCCAATGAGGCTTCCTTGTATCGACGTCATATAGGTCAGGAAGTTTCTTCTGGAAGCTTCTGAAAATTTTTTATTAAATAATCATCCTATAGATTCAGCTAGATTCGCCTATTGTGTTTACTAAAGCCTAAGGTATCTATTTTTATAACAAAATTTGGCGACCAAATTTGTCGCCTAGTCGACTCCTTTTATTATTAGTGGAAGATTATTCTCTCTTTACCTACAGACTCTTTTTCCAGCCACATTACTCTTTCGGCTGGGAAGATAAAAAGATTGAAACTTTCCATAACACTATTGTAATCTGACCTTCAATCCATTTCAAGTGCTTTTAAAAATGTTAAACTGTTTTTTTCTCCTTTCCTTTCTAAATCTTTACAAATCCTTAATATATTCTTTTTATTGTTACTTTAATATGTGAAGTATTGCACAATTAGACAAATTTTAGCACTAGAAATTCATAGTTGTTCACAAAAAGAAAAATATTCATAACATAAAATATGTTTTGGTGTCTTATGCATGTGCATGAAACACTGAACGGAATTCAGTTTGCAAAATATTTTTATAAATATTGCAAAACTCATTCAATGTTAAAAATTTGAATTTTCAAACACACTTTTTCTCCTGAAAAGGGTTACATAATGACTAATTTTCAGATCATTAACCTCTATAATATTACAAATGTTAACTAATTCACTTCGAAACCCAATTTAAACACCAGCTTTGTAGAGGAACTAATGTACGTTATACCTATCGAGATTCCAAGTACTTATGTTGGTGAGATGTGGAAATTTGGAGAGTGGGGATTCCCTTTCCTCGTCACCTGCCCACAGTTCAAAATTATGAGGTACGCCTCCAATAGCCCTCGTGTAGCTTTTGAGTATGAAGTAAATAAACAATTGAATCAGCTGGAGTCAAGGAAATTATTATGTTACGATAGCAAACAGACAAATAAAGGGGAATGTTTGTAACACTCTCTAAACCTACTATCGGACCCGGCTAGAGGTGTGGGAGGAAGTGAAGGCCGACTCGACATACCACTTTTTATCTATTTATTCAGCACACTAATTATCACAGACACAATTTAATTAATCAGATAGGATGAGTTGTTCCCAGAAAAGAGCAGGGGGGATTTTGCTACGAGAGTCGCAAATTCTGAGAAGCCTTTTAATCAATAGATCCACACTTTATGGATCAATCCACTACTGTAATACTTGATTTACACTGTAACTATATGACCAATCGCCATTTAAATACTTTTAACAATTTAAAGCCCGAAACGCGCTATCAATATATTTAATAGCTGATCTGTTGATATCTTTATTTATCTTAACTTCTTAATATTTCAATCCCCAGGCAACTTCGTCTAATCATTTATTCTCCTCTATCTTACTTTTTAGCTAGCAAACCAATGCTATATATAACTGACCTAATCTGCATATCACGGTTTCTTCTTCCAAAAGGGTTGGTTGTGATTAATAGCCCGAAGAATTCCCAAGAGGGTTAGTAGAAGGACGCTTATAGATCCGTAACATGTTTATTAAGAAAAAAAAGTTTTCATTCTTAAAATATTCAAGAATAGAACTCAAACTCACAGAAAAAATCTTAAAATAAAAAAAAGACTCAAAACCAATTCTAAGTCTAACGTGGTTAATCTATATAAGTATATTATAATATATAACTAGTTATCAGTGGCACACTCAAGGGAGTCCAGGTTCCGGACCCCCTCCCCCATAGCTCTTGAAATTTTTTTCGAATGATGATGATCCTATGTATATAGTAAGTAAAATTTAATTAAGTATTTGCAATTAACAATTTATTTTATTTATTAATGCTAATTCATAATTCAATCATTTATTTTTTAATGTCTTTTGTTCCCCAGATCTACAAAATCAAAAGAATACGTTTGGCGTCGTATTGAAGTATGTTACGAGAAAGGTGGACTTTCAACCCTGGAACCTTTCTGAAGTTCAAAGAATATTAAAGACAAAAATATGAAAAATATTTTAATCCGAAGAAGAGTTGAATAACTGAAGCGAATACTATAATGAAAAATAATTAACATAACAGTTATTAATATATAGTCTTTTATATGCAAATTTATTCTAAATTTAAATTCATATATTTTTCATTCAATGAATTACAGAAATTATATAACTTTTTAATTCCACAAAAATTTGTCCCACAAATTTTGTTACATTTTTATCAAACGTAATGTTACATTTAGAGGTAAACTATCATATACTGGAAAATAAAAAAAAACGTCGCAGCCGGTAGGATTCGAACCTACGCGGGGAAACCCCAATGGATTTCGAGTCCATCGCCTTAACCACTCGGCCACGACTGCTACAGCTTCGCAAATACATCTAGTTTCAGTTTTCTGAGAGATATATGTAATGGAAAATTAAAATGCACTATAAAACATTACGTAACAACTAATTACAAGGCTTTGAAAATAATAACTAATGAAGCAATGTTTTCCTCTGTCTTGCATGCACACACGCACACATGGATTTCGGAAGCTGTAGATTTCACTTCCATTTCCACTCTTCTAAGCAAATAAATATTTTAACACGTAATATATAAAAAAAATTTTAAGTCAATTCCTACTTAGGTCAACAAAGAAATTTTTTATTTTAGTTACTTTTTTATCAAATAATTACAATTAATATAAAAATGTAAAAATGGCAGAATCACAATATTAAGTGGCAAACGATTTTCTCTTTGCAGTTTTCCATTTTCCTTTCTATATATGGTGTGGACTATTATTTTTGTTTGTTAATATTTATTCCTTAATTAAATTTAATTATTCCAATAAAATAGTATAGTAAAAAGGAATCACATTCTTATACGTTAGGCCGTCCAAGGTGGGACACGAAACGACTTTTGGATTAAAAGTCCAACGCGCTATCCATTGCGCTACAAGAACACAACGAGCGGTTTTGATTTTTATATATGGTAGTGGACTATTATTTTTGTTTGTTTCTTTTTTTTTCTTTATTAATGAATTAATATCTGAGACAACTGTATTAACATCAAGTGCCATTCACTACAAGTTAAGAAAAATGTATTTGAACTTGAATGGATGAATAGAAAGTATTTTATTAACGATTGAAAATTTGAACAAGATATATATATATATATATATATATATATATATATATAAGGAGATTGTAAACTAATAGTAGGAATTGAAAAATGGTCGTATAGATAATGAATATGGATTATTTTATTATATATAAGAATGTTTTCCTTAGATATAACAATGCTTTTTCTTACTCGTAAAAAATATACACATGTATAAAACGTATTGTTCCCTTTTTACAATATCTAACAACAACCCAATATTATTATAGCTCTATATAGCTGGAATTTTTTCATATCCACTAAGCTTCAAAGAAGATTCTTTACTAAAATGAAGAGACTGTTGTTCATCATGAATAGGCACAGTGATCTTTTTATTAAAGAGTCCTGGATTTATATAAAGAATCCAAAATTGATACTCAGGAGATCTTTTACATGCCACATAATCATATGACAGGCGTGCCTATACGATTTTCGCATCCAGAAAATCTATCGATTCCAGCCAGAATCAAACTTGCAACCCTAGGCTTACGAAGTGGTCACGCGACCTCTAAGCCAACAGAGCCGATGTTTCACAAAATATAGTGCTTTATTACACGAGGAATAACCTTATTTGCTTAAATCTGGCGCACACAAGGGGGGTGTCCTGAGGGTCCGGACACCCCCAAAGCCCTTGAGTGTTTTTTCGATTGATGCTAATCCGATGTATATATAACGTAAAATTTAATTAAGAACTTGTAATTAGCAATTTATTTTATTAATTCAATAATTTATTTTTTACTGTTTTTTGTTAACGAAATCGACAAAATCAGAAGAATCAATTGGTGTTGTCTTGAGGTATGATACGAGTTGGGGGACTTTCGACCATGGACTCCCCCTTTGAAAATTTTTTGTGTGCACTACCGGCTTAAATAAATGCATTTTCTCTTAATTTTTGTACATTGAACATCGAAGTCATGTAAATACACTGCATCTATGTTTGTAACAAAGAATAACACAGTTTATATCAAGTTAGTTTTCATTTATAATTTTGTAACAGCCACACACATAGCATTTCTTTTTTACAAAATAATTACAAGTGCTTTCTTATATCTATATTTTTTAAAGTTGCTATTTGTTTTGGCTCTTAAATTTATCGAACTCTAAAAGGATGAAGAAAGGCGATCGAGCTGATTTTTAAAGATGCATCTAGAATAATGAATAAAATCATCATTCCTCCTCACTGCGAAGGTGCTTTGCAAAAAGTTGAAAAGAAAAAGATACACCATTCAATTCAAGGATTTAAATTTAAAAATAAAAACGGGAAAGAGTTTCTTTTCTCGAATGAGGTTAAGATTTCAGAGAAATTACGTCATTTTGAGCTGTAGTTAAATTCCGATATAGCAAAAAAATTAATAAGATTATTAAATGTTAGTTATAAGGATGTGATTGCACAGTAATTAAGCAGTTGCTAAAACATGAAAAACTTGTTAAAGTAGTTGATGACACAAAATGCAAGATAAAGTAATCAACAGAGTAAAGTAATTTAGTAAATTCTTAGACATGGGGCTAAGATTGCAGAATGAAGCTTCTGCGTATACGTTTTCTCTTAATATAGTTACACAAAATGTTAATTATTTCCTGGTATATCTTGATTTTCTGCTGAAGAATCTTCAGAATGATGTATTTAGTTCTTAAATAGCTTTATTACAAATGTGTATTGCTCACTACTTCTCAAACTTCCAATTTTCATCACGCCCCCCCCCAAACAATAACATTGTATTGAAAGTAATAATAACGTACTTTAACGCTAAATCTTTAATACGACATTAATTATACATCGTACAAATTATCAAGATAAATATTAAGTTTTGTATACGTCACTTTTAAATAATAAATATTTAAAAAAGATTTGCTTTTAAATTAAAAAAAAAGAACTCTTTTTGACTTTTTGATATGCTTGTGCCCCCAACGTCAGGTTATCACGCCCCCCCCCCCAGGGGGAACGCCGCACAGTTTGAGAATCACTGGTATAGCTTGAAATATAAAGCAACAAACTATTATTGTATTCTTTAAGCACCTATAACGGCTAACTTCGCAATGACATTGATAATTAGCCCACGAGAACACTTAAGAAGACTGGTAACACAAGAATAGGATACAGTACCTCAAAAGACCGAGATATAGGATCGAGCACACTTGAGCCGCTTAATTAAAATCTCCTTTGTTGCTCCTCTCGTAATATATAAATAGATGGGTGAGTGAATATTGACGTCACACTGTTCAGCTACATGAGGGCTTTTGGCAACGGACCACTTCATTTTGAACCATTGTCAAGTGACGCGGTCGACACTTGAGCTGGCACCCCCTCTCCTAACTACCATTCCACACCAACGGGAGGGCGTTTGAGCTCTTGATAGATTTAACGTGCATCGCTCCCCAACACGGCGGGTCTTCAGTGGTACTGGGCTCAAACTCATGATACGCTAGCCATCATCCGATGCCTGGACCATTTATCTACCGCGGCCTCATAGATAGATGGGAATATGTCTTCAATTTTTAGTCAAGTAAAAGAAGCGTGAACTCTTAATTTTAAGAAAAAAATTCAAATGATTGGTTATATTCCACTGTGGAAACGTATTCGAATGAATGTTGGTAATGTCCCACAATAAAGCAACACGAGGGCTATTGGTGACGGACTTCATATTTTTGAACCACGGTCAAGTAACGAGGACGGCAACTGAGCTGACACTCCACTCTATTTTAATCTGAAGACTTTTGGCTTCGACAGATTTAACGTACACCAGCAATTTTTTACATGGATCTTTTAAGACACTAGAGATCTCACTCATGACAAATGAGGTAAGGTGGTGAGTATTCGATATGTAAAAAAATATATTACTTTTATTAAAATATATACAAAAACTTACAATGGTGTTAATTGCAACTGGGATCCAGGACTCTTTAAGATATCCGACTACTACAAATAGATTTTAAAATATCAATTAATAGGTCCTAAAATATCAATCAATAGAATCTAAATTTACTATAATCATCAAACTTTGTCGGAGCATAAGGCGTTAGCTAAGCCTCCAATTATACATTGCTATTACTGTACTGAACTGAACTGAACTATCCGACTACTTGCGACAACTTTTTAAAAAAAAAAATGGAGATATGGGGGGATTTTTTGTTGTCGTTTTTAGATTTCTTTAGTACATTTTAAGAAAAATATTCTAAAATTAAAAATAGAAAAATAAATTATTATTACTAAAATGGGAAAAAATGGTAAATATTGAAAAAAAAAATAACCTAAACGCGGCCCATTCTGTACCAAAAGTTTATGAACAGATTTTCAATTTTTCAATTCTGGTGTGTGTGTGTTGCTAGTTTACTCATTTTTTTTAAATGACCTTCAGGAGAAGAGATATTTTAAATTTACAAAAACTAGAGCACTTTATCTTTGTTATTATATGAAATTGCTTAAAAAAACAATGCATATATACACATAAGCAACTGTAAATTTTGTAATAAAACATTAAATTAATTATTTTCGAATCTTTTTGAGCAATCGCTGGCCCTTTGAGTATTTAAAAAAAAACATATTGTGAGTATAACGCGTTTTAAAGTATGACATCTCGCTTGAAGTAATGGCATCTGCCTTTACTAAAACACTTGTAAATTTTGTTCTAGTGAACGAAAAATGATAACCTTGGTATTTTTATAAAGCTAATAAGAGATAACCTATAAAATAAACCATAAAAAATTTCTCAGTTTTCGGCAAAATTTACAATTTTAGGATAGTCGAACCTTAATAAAAAGATCACTGTGTCTATACATGATGAAAAACGGTCACTTCATTTTAGTAAAGAATCTTCTTTGGAATTTAGTGGATATGGAAAAATTCCAGTTAAATAAAATTGGGTTGTTGTTAGATATTGTTAAAAGGGAAACCATACATTTTATACATGTGTATAATTCTTACGAGTAAGGAAAAAATTCTTAATTCTAATGAAAACTTATATATAATAAAATAATCCATATGCACATAATTTCTATAACCATTTTAAAAATATTTATTTGCTTAGAAGAGTGGAAATGGAAGTGAAATCTACAGCTTCCGAAATCCATGTGTGCGTGTGTGCATGCAAGACAGAGGAAAACATTGCTTCATTAGTTATTATTTTCAAAGCCTTGTAATTAGTTGTTACGTAATGTTTTATAGTGCATTTTAATTTTCCATTACATATATCTCTCAGAAAACTGAAACTAGATGTATTTGCGAAGCTGTAGCAGTCGAGGCCGAGTGGTTAAGGCGATGGACTCGAAATCCATTGGGGTTTCCCCGCGTAGGTTCGAATCCTACCGGCTGCGAAATGATTTTCTTGCACCAGTTTATCACAGTTTACCTCTAAATGCAACATTATATTTAATAAAAATATAACGGAATTTGTGGGACAAATGTTTGTGGAATTAAAGAGGTATAATTTCTGTAAAGCTATATTTCACTGAATGAAAACTATACGAACTGAAATTTAGAATAAATTTGCATAAAAAAGACTATATATTAATAACAGTTATATAGGGGCTAAAATGGCATATAAACTATTTTTCACTATATTACTGATTCACGTTTCAGTTATTCAACTTTTCATCAGATGAAAGTATTTTTTATATTTTTAACTTTAATATTTTTTCTTTGAACTTCAGAAAGGTTCCAGAATCGAAAGTACACCTTTCTCGTATCATACCTCAATACGACACCAAACATATTATTTTTGATTTTGTCGATTTTGGGAACATAAAACATTAAAAAATAAATCATTGTATTAATAATTAGTATTAATTAATAAAATAAATTGTGTT